TTTGTCCTGAACTCAAAACAATAAAAATGGTTTTATGAGAAAATTCGGGACAGAATAATATTGAATAAAATAAAATGCCAATGCACAGTGTGCACCCGAGAAGTTCAAGTTAATGCAGCGTGAAATTTCAATTCAATTGTTAATCTCTACCATAAATCCAATCAGGAATGATCCTAGATTTATAAAACAATACAAGCAGACCCTGCACAAGTACCACAAGTTAAAAATAGCTGAAATAAGTCGAGCAGTTCTCGTGTGCATCGACTTGCATCTAGAAGAGTTTATCAAGTGAAAATGTAAATATTTATTTTGCAATAATTATTAGAAATCAGTGATTGCAGGACACCCACCCTCAGTACTTGGGGTCGGTCGCTGTAGTCTACTGGTTGACACCTTAAGGAATAGTCCCCTGTCAGCCATCCGGCCATTGATATCTGTAACCACAACCAAGGAGAGGCCATACTCCGATCAGATAATGTAACCACTGCCATCACCGACTACCGAGTGTTTTTAATATTTTTGCATTTCCATTTATGCATTTCTGTTATGAATTGGTAAACTAGAATTACTGCATTTCACCTAGGGTCAGTTATCGCTGGATATCTCGTGATTAGAAAGACATACGGCAATTTTCATAAATATCTTTTTTGTAGAGCGAAAAGCGGACTAAAAAAAAGAATTCTATCAAATTCCTTCTATTTCGTTGGGTTTGAGAGATATCAGCGATAACTCATTCTAGTTTATCAAGCACTACAGATTTGGCTTGTTCACCCAAACCATTTAAATTCGACACTCAATTCTGTACAATCTAGATAATTTTTTTGCAAAATCATTTGCAAATGTGGCTTGTTGGATTATTATTGAGGGGAGGACATTGCCAGTGTGGTTTGAAGGTCTTATCTTCACTTGCCACATGGCGCAGTCTCCAGAAAGTCGATGAAATCAGGAACGCAAGGTTCGAGCAATTAATCTCGTCAGGAAATTGATGGTTTTTTTTTATTTTATTATTTATAGGGAAATGGCAAAGATAATTTTAACAAGAAATATTTCTTACTTATTTCTTAGAACTTGAAAACTGATAAACAGTTTCTTGTTTCACGCAGAGTATTTTTCAATTATTAGCATGTCTTTACAGAAATTGATGCAATTCGTTTTACGCTTACGTCTATTCGGTTGAATTTCAGAATCCAGTTTTTCCTGATCCAATTACTTATCATTACCAACTGAAAATTTCTTGCTTTAATTACATAATAAAGACTTTCATTGTCAATTCAAGTGTACACAAAATTGATCTTATGTGTTGTGATCTTTGCGCAAGATATTATACAATCGAAGTGAAAAAAAAGATAATTCTACGCTGTTGGAAAATGAGTCTTGAAATTTCAAGTAAAAAAATTAAAACCCAGGAATTTATTGGGTTTTCAAGGCAAACAGAAACTTTTACGAACGACGTAATCTTAAAGTAAACTGAGCCGCGGCAAATTGAGGGTTCAATTGTTACTGTAAATTATATTAATTCTCAATAATGTACATGTAACACAAACTATAAAAATTTATGAGGAAGACGTGATTTTTAGTGTAGGAAAGACTGGAAAATCCTCGCAGTACAAAAGAATCTCATTTTACTGAGAGAATTTTTTCCCGTATACCCGAATGAAATTGTTCATTACAAGATTAATCGATTTGAAAAATTATATTTTCTGGTCCATGGAAAATATATATATTTATTTTTCTCAGTGCGCGCGTGTTTAATCAGTTATTGCCGATACCTCCTGATTTTTCATGTGTTTAGATTAATTCTTTATAAATCATCGATCAGATTGACGTGAAAAAATTTAATATTTTTAGGTTTTATTATTATTTCATGACTCACAAGTTTTCATAGTCGTGCGTTAATTTTTCCAATTTTTTGGTGGGCGAAATTAAACATTTTTTTAGTAGTCAAGTGTAATAAAATTCTGGAAAAATTAAAATGTCGAATAATGGATTCCTACGATTGCTTTTTCGCCCTCATCTCTCACTGAACCTTCTGATTAATCTCATTTTACCCGCATTCCATTTTATCTTGTGTCCCATTTTGCCCGGGTCACCTCGAAAGCTTCCTGAGTTTTAGCAAAAGTTCACTGAGAACATCGGAAAGTTCTCCTACAGTGATGAACCTTGTGAGACATTGAATAATAATAAACCTTAAAACCGATATCTTTTTTATGTCAATTCTATGAACCGTTCCCCACAAATTTGTAAAAAAAAAACTTGAAAAAACAAGATATCGGCAACAACTCCTTGAGATAATGAACATAAAACGGTATGAAGTGCCCAATAATTTAGGGATGAACGTCAAATATTTTCTGGATAAAGACAATTGAGTGCTCGACTTTACGCTCATGATTTCAGGACAATCCTAATGTATTTACATTATTAGTAGTTATAATAAAGTATATGGATAATAAGCTCAACGAAGCAGCCATATCTACGATATCCATCATAATATTCAGCATCCAGTTCCAAGCCTAAACATTACGAAATAAATAAATAAATAATCATATAATCCATGATGATGACGACCTGGGTTGACCAAGGGGCTGGGGATAAACGTAATCAGGTCTTACCCTTATCGCTGTTGGACTGTTGGAATAGTCGACTGGTTGACAGCGAAAACTATAGTGTCCCCACCAGCCACCCATCAGACTCTGTATTTTATCAAATATATGTAATCATTGTTCTCGAATCACCGGTCCAATGCCAAATCCCCAATGATTATTTTTAACTCCTCAAATATTATTGATTTATTCCATTGAATTTAGGTATTGAAAGAATAATTAATTGAAACATTTAAATGGGTTGGAAAGTTGTGGTTTTTTTAGAACTAATTAAAATGTCGAATAATTAATTTCTTTGAGTTAATAAAAAATTCATATATGTTTTGTTAAAAATCTAATGAACAATTTGAAAAAAAATTGTAAAGAATCATTGAAAGTCGTGGGCAACTACTCAGCAACTAGTCAATTATTATTGATTAATTCTACTGAATTTGTTATTGAAGAAGTCCAATTGAAGCATTTTTATTAGTAATGAATGTAAATTTTCAAGAATTAGTTGAACGTTCGAACGGAAGATTTTTTCTAATAAATCTAATCAACAATTTGGAACATATTTGAAAAAAATCATGGAAACTGGTGGGGAAACAACAGCTCAATTGCTATAGATTAATTCTAAAAATTGATTATTAACAAATGCGAAATTAACGAATTTTAGTAGACAGTAAATATCAGTTTTCAGAAATGAATTGTATGTGGGATGTCAATTTTTTTCGCGTCAATCTGAATACCAATTAGCAGGAAACAGCAAAAATCATGAGAAGTAGTAGATAAACAACTACTCAATTGTCATTCATTAATTCCATAAAATTTCGTACCACTAAAAAACTGCTGAAACCCAGCACGTGAATTAATATTAGATTTCAGTTGTGAGGAATTAATTGAGTGTTACAATCCCTACGTTTATAATCATTGGACTGACAGTACCGACACATAAACTTTTACCTCAATTCGAGTACAACATTCGGTGGAAATCTATCGCTGATTACGAAATTAACATAAATAAAAATAAAACAAGATAAAAAAAATAAATGATATAAATAGCAATACAATAACGAGTGATATTTTTTTCTCCCTCGTGGTAGAGATAAAGTATCAGAAATTAGTTGCTTTACCTCGTAAAATAGCCATGTTGAGAAAATAACTTGAATTAAGTTGTACGCAATCAGGACATTTTTAAGTTGAAATGGCTTTCGATTCTCCATGAGTTTTGGCCCTATAACTTTGACTATGTACACGTAACTCAGGCATATGAACAGTGTGGGGAAGGGAGAACTCATTAGGAACCAATTAGTCGTCCGTGAATCTAAAAGCAAAAACAAAATAAATAAACAATAAACAAGTAAATGCACCACATAATTAAATAAAAGGACAAAAAAAAATCGTTTGAATCATCTCGAATAGCTCAGAACATTCATCAATTAGATAATTGAATGCGATGAGCTAAGGCATGTGAACCGATATATGTATACACTGATCGAACACATGTACGTCATAGTCGAGTGAAGTTTTATGTACTGCCTTGTGTACTTCATTCGGTACAATGGCCTCCTAGAGATCTCAAGGCTAGTCTTGTTATAAACTAGCTGATGCATCATAGAAAAAGTTCATCGATTACTTTGACATTTCCTCGTTAATCTGATAAATTAATGATTGTCCTAAATTCTAATCAACAATCATGACCTCTCAACATATCCCAAAAAAATATTACAAGTCAAAATATAATGTAAATATATTAATTCCCAGAAAAATTATCTTTATATTTTTTTTTTAATAATGAAAATGAAAGGATTATTATATTTTTCATTATTTACTGCGTAGTAGTAGTATGCTAGGAAAATATTGTTGCCTTCAATTATATTGCGAGTAATATTCTCGGAGTGGAGTGGATTGTTGGGATTTGCTTGAACGAGCTGGGGATTACTTTTGTGTTCGTTAAGAAATTTATATTTTTTGCGTGCCATACTATGTACTGCATGAGGATTTCTGGGAATTGAATTCGCCAATCGAGGTGTCATGACATTATTTTGCCATTTTCAGAAGTAATATTTGTTGTGGTATTTTGATAGGTAACAGATAAATTTTTTTATCTCATGAATAATCGATTTTTATAATTCAATGTTGCTAATTAAAGAGGCGGTTCCGATAAATTTGTTATGAAAAACTTGAACTGTTTTTTTAATGAATAATAAATAATGGATAATGATAACAATAATGAATCTACAGTGCAATTATAATAATTTTCGTGGTCTCTCGGACGAAGAGTAACAATTACAATTCAAGGAATGTCATTTAAAATCCCATTTGGGATAATGATGATATTTTTTTGCGGATTTAAATGGAGTGGAACTAGTCTCATCGTGCAGGTGATCTTGTAGGAAAGAAATTGACAAGGTTTTCAGGGTCATTTGCTGGAGCCTTTCACGGCTATTATTGACCACGACCTTGTCGAGGTTCCTTTCCAACATGTACGTGAACCTTGATCCATTGATCCAGAGGATTCATCCCGCAATATTTCACTTCGTTATTGATCATCAATTCTACAGATTCATTGATTTGTTTTTGCTTCCGAATGCAATCAGACACTTTATTTCCTCGATCTTGTAATTTTAATTGGATATTATGTAGGTCATGAAACGTGGAGATATTTTTTTGGAAATTGTTGATCGTTCTTCGGAAATATTTCATAAATTACAATAAACAGGGGCTGAAGTTTAAGCAACAAATCTGCAGGTTTATGGTATAATTGGAATTACTTTGGAGCATTTCTGGGGATGATGTCTCGTCAATCGACTCAGTAATCTTCGATGTACAGCGATTTCTCAAAAATATCGTTTTTTCAATATTTCAAACATTGCACGACCCAATTAAAATTTTTGGCGAAAAAATATTCCGCATCATATTTTTGGGAATAATTTATAATAAGTTATACTACTGGTGCTTCAAAAGTAACTCATTCTGCAATTACGTTATTGTCAATACCGTTAATTTTCAGATGAATAAATTAAAATATTCCTACCGATACATTGCCTGATTGCTTAATTTTTTTGTTGAGAACGAATTGTATTTTTTTTTCTATTGTTTTTTGTATTGTTGAACTGAAAATCATCAAAAGAAATTCTTCTTGCTTGAGAGC